AAAAAAATAAAATAAAATAAAATAAAATAAAATAAAATAAAAAAATAAAATAAAATAAAATATAAAATAAAATAATAAAATAATAAAAATAATAAAATAATAAAACAATAAAATAATAAAATAAAATAATAAAATAAATAAAATAAATAAAATAAAATAAAATAAAAAAATAAAAACCAAAATAATAAATAAAAAATAATAAACAAAATAAAATAATAAAATAAAATTAAAAAAAATAAAGAAAATAATAAAGAAAACAATAAAATAATAAAATAAAATAAAGAAAAAATAAAATAAATAAAATAAAATAAAATAAAGAAAAAAAGAAAGAAAAATAAAATAAATAAAATAATATAATAAAATAATAAAATAAAGAAAAAATAAAACAAAGAAAACAAAATAAAATAATAAAATAAATAATAAATAAATAAAACAAAATAATAAAATAATAAAAGAAAAGAAAAAAATAAATAAAATAATAAAATAAAACAAAATAAAATAATAAAATAAATATTGGGTATTATTATTGATTTTAGAATAAGAGGTTAATGCATTTTATATCAGTATCTATACCAGAAAAAGTTGAACTTATTCTTTTTTCCTCTTTTACATTCTTTCTGCTTCCCCAATTTTGCTTTTTTTATCTGTTTTCCCTAGCTGCCTTTCTTTTGGTTTTTTTTTAATATTTTATCTTTTGCTGAGACTTAATCATTTTTTTTTTTAAAAGCACAGAAGCAAATTATATTCTTCTCTTTTAAGATAATGCACATACGTGCCATGGAAAATGTAGATTAAAAAAAAATACTATGAGGACAGTATTCCCGCAGTTTTCTCCAGATGTTTTGGGACTTTTAATCCCAGACGTCACATTCATACTCTTACTGATGTTTACAAAAGATGACTAGGAGCAGATTCAGCTCACATGCATGTATATAGATTGTTTCTCTTAGTTGAGAAATGGTCTTTGTATGTTTTCCTACATTTAGACAAACTTTTTATTGAGAGTTGAGAGTTCAATCCTAGGTAACAGCAGATGTTTCTCTCCCGGGGTGGAGAGGAAACATCTGCTGTGAACTCCATGTAGGTGTCAGGAAGGGCATCCAGTCAGTAAACTCTCGGCTACACCCAGTTGCTCTGACTCTACCCTGAATCAGGAACTACAAGTTGTAAAAAAAAGGGGGAGGGAGACAAACTATTTCTGATCAGATTTGAAATGAAACAATATTGTACCTATACCTTTACTGTAAAGCGGACAAAACATCAAAAGTGCTACTAAATCACTATTCTAATCAGAAACAAAAAATAGAAGAAACCAAATATTTCCTGACTGATGAAAGGCACACATCAATGTACATATAAGCCTGTGTGTTTGTGCATATACGTTTTGAGGAGCGGGCTAAAAGGACTCGTAGAAGTTATGTGTTTTTGATCGCTTAGCTAAAGTTGAGACTCACGGGGCCAAAGCTGGCGTCCTCCGCTTCATAGACATAATGATCTAAAGATATGAAAAAATATCCGGGTTCCACTTCCTGGCACTGGCGGCCAATCAGATGCGGCCTGCACTGGCATTGGCCAGTTTCACTGGAGCAGCTGAAAAACAAAATGGGTTTCTATTGGACGTCTGCGGGACGTTTCATATGCCTCTTTCCTCTGCATACCAATAGATAGACAGACAGACAGACAGACAGACAGATAGATTGATAGATAATAGATTGATAGATAATAGATAGATAGATAATAGAGTGATAGATAGATAATAGATTGAGTGATAGATAGATAATAGATAGATAGAAAGATTGATTGATAATAGATAGATAATAGATATTGATAGATAATAGATAGATAGATAATAGATATTGATAGATAGATAGATAGATAGATAGATAGATAGATAGATAGATAGATAGATAGATAGATAGATAGATAGATAGATGACAGATAAATACATGGATGGATGGATGGATGGATGGATGGATGGAGATGATAGATAGATATAGATAGATAGATGGTAGATATAGATGGATGGTAGAGATAGATGTAGATGAACGAGAAATACATGGATAGATAGATAGATAGATAGATAGATAGATAGATAGATAGATGACAGATAAATACATGGATGGATGGATGGATGGAGATGATCGATAGATATAGATAGATAGATGGTAGATATAGATGGATGGTAGAGATAGATGTAGATGACCGAGAAATACATGGATAGATAGATAGATAGATAGATAGATAGATAGATAGATAGATAGATAGATAGATAGATAGATAGACAGATAGATAAATTCAAGATATCTAAGAGTAGAGACAGCCACAAATATAACCCAATCATAGATATTTCTGCATAATTATAGAAAAGTTTGCAACAAGTTTCACTCATCTGTCAATCAACCCAAATGAGTTTCTATCAGACATCATCTTCAGGACATTTTATATGCCTCTTTCCTCTGCACACCAATAAATAAACAAACAAATAAATAAATAAATTCAAGATATCTAAGAGCAGAGACAGCCACCCATGTTTATAACCCAATCATAGATATTTATGTGTAATTAAAGAAAAAATTTGCAACGAGTTTCACTCATCTACCGATCAAAACCAAAATGAGTTTCTATCGGACATCTTCGGGACATTTTATATGCCTCTTTCCATTGTACACACACACACACACACACAAGAAATTCAAGACATCCTAAGACTGACAAGCACAAGACTCTATGACTCAAACGCACGGATATTTCTGCATAATGAAAGAAAAATTTGAAACAGGTTTCACTGATCTGTCAATCAACACAGCCACGCAACCATCGTGAATTGTGCATTTTAGCTATTGCTTCCTAGGCAGATATCCCAATACAGATGCTTAGGTGCTGATCAGATAAGTGACTTGCAAGCCATCCAATTCAAAACTCAGGAATAATAATAATAATAATAATAATAATAATAATAATAATAATAATAATAATAATAATAATAATAATAATAATAATAATAATAATAATAATAATAATAATAATAATAATAGAGAAAGTCATAGAAAATGATAAAATTAAACTGCTCTGGGACTTCAGAATTCAAACAGACAAGCACCTGCCACATAACACCCCAGACTTAACAATTGTCGATAAGAAAGACAAAAAAGTCTGGATAGTGGACGTGGCAGTGCCTGGAGACAGCAGAATAGATGAGAAAGAACTGGAGAAGTTAACAAAATACAAAGACCTACAAATAGAAATAGAAAGACTGTGGCAAAGGCAAGCAAGGGTAGTACCAATAGTAATAGGCGCCTTGGGTGCAATCCCAAAACAACTGGAGCAACACTTGAACGCTATCAGCATTGACAAATTCGCCCTTAGTCAATTGCAAAAGGCAGCCTTACTAGGAACTGCCTCCATCCTGCAACGATATCTGTAATACCATCAAACATCTACATCTGCCTATCCCAGGTCCTTGGGAAGGACTCGATAGGTAGACAAAAATGCCAAATCCAGTCTGAACATCTGGCTGACTGTGCGATGATCCATAATAATAATAATAATATACATGGAAGCAGGGAGAAAGTCTCCTTTCTTATGGCATTATTACAATCCCAGATAGATTTCGTCAAACTTCAGATGTTTCCTTTACTGGGCACCCTAATTCCAGCCTTTCTTTATGGTTCCCAGGTTGTTTTCCTTCCTTCAAAACCACAACTTAGCTTTTGGGTGCAGCTATGTGCTCAGATGCTGTGCGGTGGCCCTACGGTTTATAGGGGGAAGCACATTCATCTCTTCAGACAATGGCTGCCTAACCAGAAATCAAGGCTGTAAAAACAGGGATCTGGACAGCTGACGGTTTTAATCTGAAACGTCCGGATGAGTGAGATCATTTTCTTGGGAGAGGAAACGGGAACTCTTGTTAGGTCAAGTTCTCTTCGCGAATGACACCCATTTACAGATGGTTTTGCAATGAAGACATCAGGATGTCCAAAGATTAGCCAGCTCCCTGGTCCCACTGCGCAATTTTAACAGGACTGTTGAGAGTAGCTACTGCCTGCGTGAGAATCAACTTAGGAAAAAAAAGATCAGAATAAAAATAAGAGCTGGGTCAAGCTTAATTTCCTCAGAGAGCTGAGACAGTAAGTCTAAAATGCAGCAAAGAGTTTTGCTGAAGTAATCGGATTATGGAATAGCCATAACAACTTGCCCGGAGTTGCGAGGAACTGGGCGGCATATAAATTTCATAAGCTATTATTGTCATGGTTCGTCGCACAGTCAGCCAGATGTTCAGACTGGGATTTGGCATTTTTTATCCACCTATCGAGTCTTCCACAAAAAACTGGGATGGGCAGATGTTGTTTGATGGTGCTTAGAGATCTGCGTGAGCTGTTTTGAGCCAAGCTGCCTGTTGCAATTGACCGATGGTGAATTTGTCAATGCCGGTGGTTACAACAGCGCTGAAAAAAGTGATTTATGACCGTTTTTCAGACTTACAAACAGTTGCAGCATCCCCATGATCACGTGATCAAAATTTTGGATGCTTGGCAACTGACTCATATTTATGACGGAGTCATGTGATCCCCTTATGCGTCCTTCTGACAAGCAAAGTCAATGGGGAAATCAGATTTGTTGAACAACCACGTTGCTAATTTAATAACTGCCGTGATTCACTTAACAACTGTGGCCAAAATATGTCATAAAAAGGGGCAAAATTCACTTAATACGTGTCTCACTTAGTCACAGAAATGTTCGGTTCAATTGTGGTCATGAGTCAATGGCTACCTGTACTTTATTAAGTACAAACAAGTAGCTGGGCCTATTAGGAAAAAAACTAGAACAGGCTATACCTAAAATACTACAAGGAAAGACTGCTGTTGCTTTCTGGTTTTCCCCAGTTGGCAATTCTTTGAAGCAAAATCCAGCGAGATAAATTTTTTGTCCACTCGAGCAAAAAAGCTAACAGCCGTGCTGGCAAAGGAGACGGAAATTAAAATTTAAATGTATTTAGGAAGGAAGGGTGACTGGATCAAGAGGAAAGGTCAGGAAAGTCAAGGTTGGATGGGGTTGAGATCCTCAAAAAGAAGGAGGTGAAAAGTTTAAATAATAAAAAGCAAGGAACGAATTGACGTATGGACATAACAGAGCAGAGATCATGAACAAGGTCTGGAGAAGTACAGAGAATGTGTTGATATCCACTAGATTTACTTAAGAATTTTTTTCGTGCCTTTAATTTAGAAGTTTTCAACATTTATCAACCCGGGAATAGAATATTCTAAAAAAACTCTAGAACAGGGGTCACCAATCTGTGGTCCGTGGCCCACTACCAGGCCGTGGACTGTTGGCCACTGGGCTGGCACCCCCCCCCACACTCATGCTAGCGTCGCATGAGCGCTAGCAATGTTGTGAGCGTCAGGCGGGCGCTAGCGTTGCCACAAGCGTACCCCCCCCACTCGAGCTAGTGTCGTGGTGTCGTGCGGGCACTAACAATGCCGTAAGTGCCGTGGGGGCGCTAGCGTTGACACAAGTGCATCCCCCCCACTCACGCTAGCGTTACGGCATCATGCCGGCACTATCGTTGCTGCAAGTGCAACATGGCCACTCTTGTTAGCGTTGCGGCACTGCGCGGGCACTAGCGTCACCTGAGCATCGTACGGGCGCTTGTGGCCCTGTTTGTGGTGCATGCGCAATCAAGGCCCTGTTCATGTGTGCGTGGCCCATTCACTCGTGTGTGCCTCCACACACACATCCTGCCCCGGGCCGCCAACCCAGAAAGCTTGAGGACCCCTGCTCTAGAAGGTGGTTCTCTCCTGAACCATACCCACTTAGGAAGGTGCATTTAGAAAGTTTATAGGTACGACAGTAGGAATTTAACTTACTTATTGTTCAGTGAACCACCTTGGTCACAATCACAGGGGCGACACCCATCCATATCGTTGCTCAGTCCCCAGTTTTCAGGCTGCAAGGGAAGATTTGGGACGTTACAGATACAAGAACATGCACAGAGTCACAGCCCGGGATCACAGGCAGGACAAAGGACAAACGTCGCCAGGATGAATCTGGACTACAGGTAGTACTTGACTTACAACAGTTTGTAACACTTGAAGTTACAATGCAACTGAAAAAAATGACTTATAGTCACTTTTCACACTTATGACCACTCTAGCACTTTTCTCGTAGCGAGAAAAGTTGTAAAAATGGGGCAAAACTCACTTCACAAATTTCTCACTTAACAACATAAATTATGGGCTCAGTTGTCGTCGTTGAGGACCACCTGTAGTAAGATTGCTTTTCTGATTCTCATGACCATCCATCCCTTTCTTCTACAACTGCTATTCTTCCGTGGTTGATCCGTACATGTCGTCCTTGCTCAACAACGGTCATTGGAAACGGAATTTGCATCACTAGGCGACATGGTCGTAAAGCACGAGGTCATGTGACCCAACTGTTTAGCAACAGCAGTTCCAGCACTTCCGGTTGCTGTCATGAAGCGAATCGTGTGGTCATCATTTGCAATTTCCTGCTGCTTCTGACAAGCAGGGTCAATGGGGGAATCGGGATTTGCTCAATGACCGCGTGATGACGATGACGACAACGATGATAACAACAACAACAACAACAACAATAATAATAATAAAGTTGAAAGGGACCTTGGAGGTCATCTAGTCCACCCCCCTGCTCAGGCAGGAAACCCTATGGCTGTCCAGTCTCTTCTTAAAAACTTCCAGTGTTGGAGCATTCACAGCTTCTGGAGGCAGGTTGTTCCACTGGTTAATTGTTCTAACTGTCAGGAAATTTCTCCTTAGTTCTAGGTTGCTTCTCTTCTTGATTAGTTTACATCTGTTGCTTCTTGTCCTGCCTTCAGGCGCTTTGGAGAATAGCTTGACTCCCTCTTCTTTGGGGCAGCCCCTGAGATACTGGAAGACTGCTATCACGTCCCCCCTCGTCCTTCTCTTCGTTAAACTAGACATACCCAATTCCAGCAACCATTCCTTATATGTTTTAGCCTCCAGTCCCCTAATCATCTTTGTTGCTCTTCTCTGTACTCTTTCAAGAGTCTCAGCATCCTTTTTACATGGTGGCGACCAAAACTGGATTCCGTATTCCAAGTGTGGCCTTACCAAGGCCTTGTAAAGTGGTATTAACACTTCACGTGATCTTGATTCTATCCCTCTGTTAATGCAGCCCAGCACTGTGTTGGCTTTTTTGGCAGCTGCAGCACACGGCTGGCTCCTATTTAAGGGATTGTCCACTAGGATTCCGAGATCCCTCCCACAGTTGCTACTATTGAGCCAAGTACTCCCTATACTATACCATACATTTGTTTTTTCTTGCCTAAATGTAGACTCTTTCTGCAGTGATTTGCTTAACAACTGTGGGAATAAAAGATTGTCACGTTGGGTGCCACTCAGAACAACTGCCTTCCTTAGCAACAGAAATTCAGGCCTCAGTTGCAGTCGTAAGCCGAGGACCACCTATCTACATTAACTTCTGTGGCACGCCATTGAGATTAATTGCAGGTAGTCCTCGACTTACGGCCGCAGTTTAGCCCCAAATTTCTGTCGCTAAGCAAGACATTTGTTAAAGTGAGTTTTGCCCCGTTTTACGACCTTTCTTGTCATGGTTGTTATGCGAATCCCTGCGGTTGTTAAATTAGTAACCCGGTTGTTAAGTGAATCTGGCTTCCCCCATTGACTTTGGTCGCAAAAGGGGATCAGGTGACCCCGGGACACTGTAGTCGTCATAAATGTGAGTCAGTTATCAAGCATCCGAATTTTGATCGTGTGAGCACGGGGATGCTGCGAAAGTCATGTGAAAAACAGTCATACGTCACTTTTCTCAGTACCGTTGTAACTTGGGACGGTCACTAAACGAGTCGAGGACTACCTGTACTTGGATCTTTGAAATAAAATTACTCTAAAAGATTTCTGTCTTTTCCTTCTTTCGATCTATATATTATTTTATAAGCTGGAGAACGTACCAGACATTGATCGCACTGCTTTCCGGTAACCAGACGTTTACAGTAGCAGTTTCCTGTCTCGGAGTCACAAGGATTCCCTCCCGGATGCGTGCCCAACGGATTGCAAGCACAAGCTACATAAGGAAGAGCAAGTAAATAAATCAGGAATTAGTGTGTTTTGATTAACGTTGGGTGTACAAAACTTGCAACAAATATTTATCTCAACACCGTCACTCATTTTTCTCAATGACAAATTGCTTTCCTCTCTTTCCCTTTGTGGTTTCCGTTTTCTGAGTTGGGCTTATGTTTCCTTATGTGTATTTAACTGTAGACCAAGATAGCGAACCATAGGACCAAAATTACAATCCGTAGTAATGTGCTGTCAATGCAATCTAGACAAGCTGAAATTAAAAGCATCAAATACAGAAGTGTATCCAAAGTTCGTGCAAACTGTTGTTGGTCTGATACTTTGAAATATACAACTGAATAATACACTGGGAAGCTCATCACAGCTAAATACAGGCATCTGCACAGGCGTCAGGAAGGGCATCCGGTTAGTAAATTCTCAGCTCCATCTAGTCGCACAGGAATATTTTCATAGTCTTTCCACAAGGAATAGAATTAGAGATAACTACTGCTTCAGAAAGAAATTGAACAAGTCCACTCTAAAATGTCGTGTACACAAGGGTGTCCCCTAGGCGTGATGCGCGAAATTTGATAAATGAATAAAATAGGCACAACTGCAACTTCAGGGGGAAAAAACAAACAACCCATCCCATCTTAACCATTTCTCAAGCGACACCATCCAATTGGGGTCTGGGTCTTTATATCAGCAAAACGAAATAACATCATGGCAGAAAACGTCAGGCTTTTTTCAAAAGTTTACCGAACGTCAAACACAGCGAGGTTAGACTTACACTGACAGCCGTGAGGGTCGTCTATGCTTAATCCGTAAAATCCTTCTTTGCAGGTGTCACAACGTTCCCCTTCCACAAAGAATTTGCAGCGACACTGTCCCGCGATGAGGCCGGCCGAGTAGTCGGTGTAACGATCGCAAATTCCGCCATTTTGAGAGCCGACGGGGTCACAGTTACACGCTAAACGAAGAAACACATTTTCTAATTGCATCGACACCGCCGTACGAAGACATACGGGTAGTTCCTCAACTTACGACCACAACGGAGTCCAAAATTAAGGAATGGATATCAGCACAGGGAAAGCAGGTGTGAGTATTAAAATCATCTTTTATCACTTAGTGTTCTCCCTTTCTTTTAATTTATACATCTCATTAACTCAGAATGACAAATAGGATTTCCTTATTTAATTCACTACAAATAGTTCTCCACAACTATGCCCCAAATTTCCATTGTGTAGCAAGGCAGATGTGTTAAGTGAGTTTTGCCCCATTTTATGACTTTTCTTGCCATGGTTGTTAAGCGCATCACTGCCGTCGTTAAGCGAATCATGCCGTTGTTAAGTAAATCTGGCATCCTCTATTGACTTTGCTTGTGGGAATCCGGCTGGGAAGGTCGCAAAAAGAGGATCACATGACCCTCGGACAATGCAACAGTCATAAATATGAGTCAGTTGCCAGGCAGCCAAATTTTGATCACATGACCGCAGGAAGGCTGCAACAGTCGTAAGTGTGAGAACCGCTCGTAAGTTGCTTTTTTCAGTGCCGTTGTAACTTTGAACGGTCACTAAACGAACTGTTGTAAGTCAAGTGTTGTAAGTCAAGTCAAGACTAGTTGCACAATCGAACAAATCATTGTGTGCATTACTCAGCGATTGTGAATCTCCCGCAGAATTTGGGGGGGAACAGTGCAAATGGAGGATAAACATACTCCATTTCTAAATGATGGAATAATTCTATAAAATATTCCATTTGTAGATTTCAGCTAATCTGGTGTATACATAGATTCAGGGGTAGGCAACCTTGACTCTTTTATGACTCGTGGACTTCAGCTCCCAGAATTCCTGAGCCACCCTGGCTCAGCTTGGAAACCTCTCCCTTTCCCCTCAGCACGGCTGGCTCAAGAATTCTGGGAGTTGAAGTCCACGAGTCATAAAAGAGCCAAGGTTGCCTACCCCTGGATTTGGTAGAAGGAAAGCGAGACAGTGGTTAAGGGAGTTTTGCCCCATTTTACGACCTTTCTTGCCACAGTTGTTAAGTGAATCACTGCGACTGTTAAGTTATTAACACGGTCGTTAAATGAATCTGGCTTCCCCATTGACTTGACCTGGCAGAAGGTCACAAAAAGTGGACCACATGACCCCCTAAAATAAATGCCAGTTGCCAAATGTCTGAATTTGGATCCCGTGACCACAGGGGATGCCGCAACAATTGTGAGTGTGAAAAACGGTCCTAAGTCATTTTTTTTAGTGCCGTTGTAACTTTGAACGGTCACTAAATAAATGGTTGCAAGTCAAGGACTGCATGCATTTCCTGAGAAAAAGACGCTGGACTCACGTTCACAAATATGCGGATCGCGGACATCCCTCTCCGGATGTTGGAAGTAGAAGGGCTTGCACTGCTCACAATTGTGCCCCACCGTGTTATGTTGACAATCGTCACACACCCCACCGCTGGTGTTTCCGGTCGCTACGTAAACAGCCATATCAAAATGGCACTGCACGGAATGCTCGTTGCAATTGCACTCTTAAGAGAATAAGGGAAAAAATAAGTTTGGTAAATTAAATAAATAAGTAAAAAGCGATAGCCTAGCACAGGGGTAGGCAACCTTGGCTCTTTTATGACTCGTGGACTTCAACTCCCAGAATTCCTGAACCAGCATGGCTCAGCTTGGAAACCTCTCCCTTTCCCCTCAGCATGGCAGGCTGAGGAATTCTGGGAGTTGAAGTCCACAGGTCATAAAAGAGCCAAGGTTGCCTACCCCTGGCCTAGCATGACAAAGGACAGTCCCTAATCTCTTTCAACAGGGTTCCCCGACCCCTGGCCCGTAGCCCGATATTAGGTCATGGCCCATTTGGAACTGGGTCCACAAAAGTGGCCGGCACGCACCCGCGCTTGTGTGCACAAGCTCCATTTGCACAAGCAGCGGACACTTGTCCGCGTGCGTGAAGCTCCATTTGTGCGAGTGGCACCCTAACCCTAATCTGCCACTTGCACAAATGGAGCTTTGTGCACACGCGAGTGCCCGCCACTCACACAAATGGACACACTTCTCTTAGAAAAAGCACGCAACACCAGGCCAGGGGGAAAGATAAGGTCCCATTCTCAAATATTAGCACAAAATCCAGCCCTCCTGTAATTTTGATTTCTAAATCTTTCTAGTCTTTGATTTCCCCAAATTGACCAATTCTACTTTCTATCTTCTGCTCTTCAAAAACAGAATGCTCGTGATAGAACATTTCTAGCCGAATTAATTTGCATCCCTTGGACCAGTGGTGGGATTCAAATACCTGAACAACCGGTTCTGTTATTGGATGCAGGCCTGTGTCTCCGAGGCCTAGAATGGACTTCCGGAAGTGGCATCCACGCACTTCCGGTTGGCCGTTCTAGGCTGGGGAGGCCTCCTCCAGGCCTCCGAGGCCTAGAACGGATTTCCGGAAGTGGCACCCACGCACTTCCGGTGGGCTGTTCTAGGCTGGGAAGGCCTCCTCCAGGCCTCCAAGGCCTAGAACGGACTTCCGGAAGTGGCATCCACGCACTTCCGGTGGGCTGTTCTAGGCTGGGAAGGCCTCCTCCAGGCCTCCGAGGCCTAGAACAGACTTCTGGAAGTGGCATCCACGCACTTCTGGTGGGCTGTTCTAGGCTGGGGAGGCCTCCTCCAGGCCTCTGAGGCCTAGAACGGACTTCAGGAAGCAGTGTGCATTCAGCTGGTTCTCCGAATTCAGCAAAATTTAGCTACCGGTTCTGCAAAACCGGTGCGAACCGGCTGAATCTCACCACTGCCTTGGACTATTCCTAAAAGGACAGATTTGCGCAGCCGAGATCAAGTTCAGTGGCATAGACCAGTGTTTCGCAATCTTGGCAACTTTAAGACATGTGAACTTCGATTCCTAGAATTCCCCCAGCCTACTGGGCAGGCTGGGAAATTCTGGGGATTGAAGTCCATACCTCAGAGATCTCTGAAGTCCACTAAGCAGTGATTAACACAGTTAGGCTTACTTTTGCAGGCGTTGCTGTTACGGCCTTCGGCGGGACGCCATGGCAAATCATGGTAAAAATCCAAGCACTGCTCACAGTTTAAGCCTTTGGTGTTGTGCCGACACATGCAGTGGCCGTGGACCTTTCACAAAATGAAACCGCAAGGTACAAGTTCAGAGCAAATGACATATTTACCAAGATAAGCAATTCCCTCCCCTTTTGCAAACAAGGAACACAAGCGGAGCATTCCCATGTCGGTTTTCTCAACCTCAGCAACTTTAAGATGTGTGCACTTCAACCCCCAGAAGCCCCCTGGGCTGGAGAATTCTGGGAGTTGAAGTCCACTATGGAATAGGGAATGTGATTCTTGATCTTGGAATGGAATGGTGATGACAGTTTGTTGCAAGAAAACAACTGCAAGACAGCACCAAGGACCCCATAGTCCTCCTTCTCCTCCTCCTCCTCTCCACAAACCCTTCTAGCACTGATGATGTGACCTAGTTGGGTAATGAAATGTCTGCAAGAAAACAAGCAAGCTCAGAGAGCACCAAGGACCCCACAGTCCTCCTCCTCCTCCTCCTCCTCCTCTCCACAAACCCTTCTAGCACTGATGATGTGACCTAGTTGGGTATTGAAACATCTGCAAGAAAACAACAAAGCTCAGAGAGCACCAAGGACCCCACAGTCGTCGTCCTCCACCTCCTCCTCCTCCTCCTCCTCCTCCTCCTCTCCACAAACCCTTCTAGCACTGATGATGTGACCTAGTTGGGTAATGAAATGTCTGCAAGAGAACAACCAAGCTCCGAGAGCACCAAGGACCCCACAGTCCTCCTGCTCCTCCTCCTCCTCTCCACAAACCCTTCTCCCTTCTAGCACTGATGATGCTACCTAATTGGGTAATGAAACGTCTGCAAAAAAAAACCAGCCACGTTCCGAGAGCATCAAGGACCCCCCTCAGATTCCATTTTAGATGAAACGTGTTTTCTGTTGTCAATCAAGGGCGATGCTTTTCAACGTCAGGGTCAGAATGACAATGAAATGGCAACAGGAAAGCAAGGTGGACATTTACCATTCCTTCCACCTCTTCTTCATAGCCATGCACCGGGGCGCATTCACTGGCGTGTCCATAACAGAAGCAGTTCCCGCGGACCACCATGTCGTAAATAGCATAGTAATACTTTTCTCTGATCTCCATCCTTGAATCCAGAAGATTGTCTCCCAGGGTGTGCAGTTTGGCAAATTGGATTTTTAAATTTGTAATCTTTAACATATCTAAAAAAAAGAAGAAACAAAACAAAAACAAGAAAACGTGTGTACACGAATCTTCCTAAGAACATTTACAACCGACAGACGTGACTACAGCCATAACCGACGGTCCCAAATTGGAAGTCAGGATCCTGCCCCTATTTCACATGTAAATAGATACTACAGATTAATTAATGATAGCCAGTTTGGTTTTAGAATAAGGGGAGGCCTTTCTATTTTGCTGCCTTAAGAGCCCCAAAATGGTACAGTCAAGTCCTCAATTTACAACAGTTCCGTTCGAAGTTACAAAGGCAATTCCTGCAACATATGGAATGGCTGTCTTGCTTTGTTTATTGTTTTCTTCTTCATCTGTTATGGAGGACACAGGACTGCCTGTGTATCATTGGTAAAGAATTCTAATTTGACTCAAAGGGCACCAGTTACTCCAATCTACGAGACAATGGAGAACAAGTACAAAGCCACTTCAAAATACAAGAGAGATCTATTCTTAGCTTGAGTATGTTCTCTGAAGCCCTTAACTACCCGGTTACAGAGTGAATTCTTTTGCCAAAAGGTTGCCAATCCCTTCTGATGTTGCATTAGCTGGGGACATTTTGTGGATGGAACATATGAAAACTGTCCCCTCTTCCTTTTTAAAGCAATCCTACTTTTCGAATCACCGCAAGGAGATCAAATCAGTCGGTCCTAAAGAAAAGCAACCTTGACCGTCCTTGGGAAGGACGGATCCCGCAGCTGAAGCTCAAAGACTTTGGCCACCAAAGGAGAAAAGAGGACTCCATGGAGGAGATGCAGATGTTGGGAAAGGTGGAAGGCAAAAGGAGAAGGGAACGGCAGAGGAGGAGATGGTTAGAGAACATGAATTTGGACAACCCATTGGAGGATGAGGGGGTTCAGCGCGGTCCCTGGGATCGCAAAGAGTTAGACACGGCTTAGTGACTAAACAGCAACAATTCGAATCAGATTTTATCTAATGATTTCCAGCCAACTAAGCTTTCGGATTATATCATGCATCAGGTCACTTTGATTCTCTGATTGAGCGAAAAGATAAGATAAGATAAGATAAGATGATGAGATGAGATAAGATAACCTTTATTGTCATTTTTTTACCGTGGGCACAACGGCACACATCAAAAATTAAGTTTAGTTGCCCGCTCTCAAAGTGAAACACATACATGACGCACACCTAAACATACTATGAACAACATATGTATAGACCCACATCCCTACATATACATAACAAATAAATATTAAATACTGTCCATCTTGAATATATAACGGAAGGAGGAAGCTTGAGAGTTCCCAAGGTTAATGCTGTATGGAATGAAACTATGACTGAATCTGGATGTTCTGCTACGGATACCACAAAGCCTCCTCCCAGAAGGGAACAAGGAAAACAGGTCGTGAAGAGGATGTGTAGTGTCCCAGATAATCTTATGGACCCTGCTCAAGCAGCGCTTCTGTGCTATGTCCTGGATGGGAGGGAGGGAACTGCCAATGATCTTTTCTGCCGTCCTCACCACTCTCTGCACCGCCTTCCTGTCTGAAGCAGGGATGCTTCCAAACCAGACTGTGATGCTGTATGACAGGATGCTCTCGATCGTCCCCCTGTAGAAAGTGGTCAGGACAGGGGAAGGAAGATGTGCTTTTCTCATGCGACGCAGAAAATGCAGGCGCTGCTGTGCCCGCTTCACCAGTTTCTCACTGTTGAGCGACCAAGTCAGCCTACCCGTTAGCTGCACACCCAGGAATTTGACGCTGGTAACCATCTCCACAGGTGAATCATTAATGCACAGAGAAGTGTGGCTGTGCCTAGTGGTGAAGACGTTCGCCTCCCACCTGGAAGGTTGAGAGTTCAATCCTTAGTAGAGGCAGATGTTTCTCTCGTAGGGCACAGTGAAAAAATATATGCTGTGAACTCCACATAGCCATCAGGAAGGGCATCCGGCCAGTAAACTCTCAGCTCCCTCCAGTCGTCCCAACTCTACCCCCAATGAAGGGATTCCAGGGTCGTAAATAGGGAGTATATAAAAAAGCTTTCATATATTGAAAATTATACCTGCTATTGCTTACATTTTTTAAATCAGATAAGCCTGTTCTTGCATCAGGAGTGCATGCAAATGCCACTTCTTCTGTTGTTTTTGAAAGTCAGCAAATTACTAATCTGAGCATACAATCAGATAGCTTATAACTAAGTACCGGATCATACTTGTAATTGTTTTACTACCTTCAGCGCTTTTATTTTATTTACAGTTCGTTTTTCTTTCATCTTATAGACTTCAAACAGATGTAAGCACATGTCTCATCCAGACACCCCCTCCAATCATTTCACCCGACTGAAACTTGCTTAGCTTCATCAAAGATTCTCCATAACACACCTGGGAGTGTACTAGGGGCCTTCCCTCATTTCACTAATCCTAGGGAATTAGGAAGAAAATAATCTCAAAGATTTACACGAATAAGTAAGCTGAAAGAATCAAGATAATTCACTCTAAGTGCTTTTAAACATAACTAATAGCCGCTATTATTAAAGGCTGCAATGAAACAGGTCTGGGTTTTTTTTAAAAGGGTTGACGTTACCAAGACTTTGAAAAACTTAATTACGCTCCCATTAATCTTTCTGGATGATGGGTATCCCAAAAGATTTTAGCAAGTCGTAAAGACCCCTGCTCCCTGTTTATCAGCTTCTTTGATCTCTGCGGGAAGGCAGGTTGGTGTTAATGAAAATTCTTTAGCAAGAAGATACAGCTGTGGAGTTGACATGAAGTTCAACTGAGGCCTACTGAGTTTTGGCCACCATCGATGAAGAGAACGTATTGTTCACCAGATGGGTGTCTTGAGATGTTTGTTTTTTTTTAATTACAGCCATATGCTCGCCTCGTTAGAAAGCAAGTTGTGCAATTCTCACAGCACTAAACTGGAGAGATTCGTGCTAACGGCCTCTGAAAAGGATTGAGTAATTTTGACCTACCAAGGCAAAGCTAGCATGCATTTGACGTGCAACATAAAAGAGGATATTGTGAACGTACTTTGAATCCGTGGGCTGTAGGGGTCTTCTATTCGAAAAGCAGGATCCAGAACCCGGTAAATGACCTGAAAGGAACACGACAATATGAGAGAGATCTGTACTTTGCAAATACAGGCAGTCCTCGACTTATAACAGTTCATTTAGTGACCGTTCAAACGGCACTGAAAAACGTGACCGTTTTTCACCGTTATGACCTTTGCAGCATCCATCAAAATTCAGACGCTTGGCAAATGATTCGTATTTATGACGGTTGCAGGGTCCCGGGATCTCCACGTGATCTCCTTTTGCGACCTTCTGACAAGCAAAGTCAATGGAGAAGCCGGATTCACTTAACAACCGTGGGTCTAAATGATCCCCTGGATTGATTCACTTAGCGAGAAAGGTCGTAAAACAGTGGTCCCCAATCTTTCCAGCTTTGCGGACTGCGGGAGAGAGGAAATGGCTGTGTGTGGGCAGCCGGCGTGTGTGCTTGCGCGCACAGCTCCATTTGTGCCAGTGGCGGTTTAGGGTTAGGGTGCCGCTTGCACAAATGGAGCTTCACACGGGCACGTGAGTGTCCGCCACTTGTGCAAGTGCAAATGAAGCTGCGTGTCATGTCATGGTTCCGACAGATGAAACTCTCCAAAGAACTTTGAGGCATTATTTACCTTAAAGAATTTATTGGAGTAGCATAGCTTCAGCACTAACATAGTTGAAGCCAAAATCTGAATTCCCCTCCCCTGAACACATAGCACAATTCCCTCCTCTAATTTACAGTCATAAATCACAGTCTCCAATTAGTTTGAAATGCAGACTTTCCCTCCTGTTCTCCATCCCGCCATTCCTTATCATCTCTTATTTCAAAAGCCCTGAATTCACACACTATTACAATATTGTTATGTCTAACTAACTCCCATCACATTCCTCCACCTCCCCCAGTATCATCTAATTCTAAGAGTAAAGCATAAGAAAGAAAAAGGCTGCATCTCCATGTGTTGTCAAAGCAAGAACATCCAATGTTTGCAGCATTGACACTGCGCACACAAGCGGGCCCGCCTGCTGCTTTTCTGGCCTGGTTCCAAATGGGCCACAGGCCTAGTACCGGGCCACGACTCAGGGGTTGTGGACCCCTGTCGTAAAATGGAGCAAAACACACTTAACAAATGTCTCACTTAACGACAGAAATATTGGGCTCAAATGTGGTCATAGGTTGAGGACAACCGGTAAGGTCTTTAAACATATATAGATGACCAACCTCTCCCTCGGTGGAAGGTTCAATGTCGGAATAGCGGGAATCACAAATAATGTCGTCGACTTTCTTCATGGGTCCGGTGGAGACGCCCGGGAACGAATTCTCACAGTCGTAGGCAAAATAACGGTAGACTTGCCACGTTTTGCCGAAATCGGATGATCTTTCAATTAACATGGCAGAAGGACGGAAGGTCTAAAAACAAATGCAACCGAGAGGAGTTGGTTTTAGGTCGCTCGGAGTTGCAAAATCGTTTGCCTTTCTGTCGATATTGGAAAGTTAAATTTTCCTTTCTTACTCTCTTTTCTGGTTTTTTTTTAAAAATCCATGTCCTCACACATATTTTTATTTTACTTTAGTATTTATTTTTATCCCAGGGAATGGGGCTGATCCAAAGTCGCACAGATGGCTTTCATGCCTAAGGTGGGACTAGAACTCACAAACTCCTAGTGATTGACCCAAAGTTACTCACCCGGCTTTCAAGCCTAAGGTGGGACTAGAACTCACAGACTCCTGGTGATTGGCCCAAAGTCACCCAGCTGGCTTTCATGCCTAAGGTGGGACTAGAACTCACAGACACCTGGTGATTGGCCCAAAAACACCCAGCCGGCTTTCATGCCTAAGGTGGGACTAGAACTCACAGACTCTTAGTGATTGGCCCAAAGTCACCCAGCTGGTTTTCATGCCTAAGGTGGGACTAGAACTCACAGACTCCTAGTGATTGGCTAAAGTTACCCAGCCGGCTTTCAAGCCTAAGGTGGGACTAGAACTCACAGATTCCTGGTGATTGGCCCAAAGTCACCCAGTGATTGGCCCAAAGTCATCCAGCTGGCTTTCATGCCTAAGGTGGGACTAGAATTCACAGACTCCTAGTGATTGGCTAAAGTTACCCACCTGGCTTTCAAGCCTAAGGTGGGACTAGAACTCAGACACCTGGTGATTGGCCCAAAGTCACCCAGTGATTGGCCCAAAGTCATCCAGCTGGCTTTCATGCCTAAGGTGGGACTAGAATTCACAGACTCCTAGTGATTGGCTAAAGTTACCCACCTGGCTTTCAAGCCTAAGGTGGGACTAGAACTCACAAACACCTGGTGACTGGCTCAAAGACACCCAGCTGGCTTTCATGCCTAAAGTGAGACTAAAATTCACAGATACCTAGTGATTGGCCCAAAGCCACCCAGCCAGCTTTCATGCCCAAGGTGGGACTAGAACTCACAGACACCTAGTGATTGGCCCAAAGACACCCAGCTGGCTTTCATGCCTAAAGGGGAATTAGAACACACCCTGTTGTGAACTGTAAAAAAAAGTTACGTTTCTGAATCTTCCTTTAAGTCATGCTTCAACAATTGCAATTAGTAGTATGTTTTTCTCTGAGTGAAAATCCTAAGAGGATGCAACCTCTTGCACCTTCTTTAAAAAAAAAAAGCGTTATTTTAAATCCTAGGGTGCATCTGCTCTGCCAGGACATCTGTGGAAGGGGAAAACAACATTTTGTATACAGATGTTTTCTTCTCCGCCCCCAAAGGTTATTTCCATTGCCAAAAGGGAAGGAATTTAAAAGTCAATATGTCTTGTTGTCTTAAATAACTGCATTGTGGAAGTTTGGCAAACCTGGACACCAGCCTTAGGAATTAATGCCGAGCAAATGTGATGGCCTTCAAAAGCCCACACAATTCTCACTTCTGCAGCAACAAAAAGTCAGGGATCAGAACTTCCCCAAAACAACCCAAGCTGCGGGAAAACAAGAGATGCAGAAGAAACACTCAATCTTTCTCAATTTTCTGAGGGTTTGGAGATTCATTCAAAGCAGTTCTTATCTTAAAAATGCAGAACAGGCCAATTAAATTGCACCATAAAACTCTGGAATTTGTTCTCTGCCTTCCCTCTTGAATGCCAGGATTAATCGTTTTTAAAAATCCTTTAGTGCCTCTTATCTTACATGCGAAAAAAATGCCAGTTAAGCCTCTGACTGGCATCTAGGGCCAGGATATGGGGCTCTTCTTTGCCGCTGGGGGGAAATGTTATGGATTTTTTTTTTACCTTGAAGGTCATAATGAGGTGGGTAAAATGGAATTCCGCCTCTAGATCCAATTGGACAGTCACGTTTTCTACTCCTGCAGGACGAAAAAGAGGAGGTTTCCTTGTAAAGAAGAACATTTGTTAAAAATCGAATTCCATCTCTTGAATTCCCCAGAGGGAAACAGGCATGGCTTTGAACCAAATCCTCTTTCTTTCCTTTTTTCTTTCTTTCTTTCTTTCTTTCTTTCTTTCTTTCTTTCTTTCTTTCTTTCTTTCTTACTTTCTTTCTTTCTTTCTTTCTTCTCTCTCTTTAATCTGTCCCTTACTCTTTCCCATCTCCTTCTTTCTCTTTTTAAACCCTCCCTCTTTCCCATCCCCTTCCTTTCCTTCCTTTCCTTCCTTCCTTCCCCTTTCTCTCTTTAATCCCTCCCTTCCTTTTTCCCATCTCCTTCCTCCCTCCCTCCCTCCCTTCTTTCTTCTCTTTTTAAACCCTCCCTCTTTCCCATCCCCTTCCTTTCCTTCCTTCCTTTCTTCCCCTTTCTCTTTAATCCCTCCCTTCCATTTTCCCATCTCCTTCCTTCCTTCCTTCTTCCTTTTCTTTTTAAACCCTCCCTTTCCCATCCCCTTCCTTTCTTTCGTTCCTTCCTTCCTTTTCTTCTTTCCTTTCCTTCCTTCCTTTCTTTCTTCCCCTTTCTCTCTTTAATCCCTCCCTTCCTTTTTCCCATCTCCTTCCTTCCTTCCTTCTTTCCTTCCTTCCTTCCTTCTTCCTTTTCTTTTTAAACCCTCCCTTTCCCATCCCCTTCCTTTCTTTCCTTCCTTCCTTCCTTTTCTTCTTTTCTTTCCTTTCCTTCCTTCCTTTCTTTCTTCCCCTTTCTCTCTTTAATCCCTCCTAAGATCTTCACATCCCATCCCGGTGCAGCCTACCGTTTTCTGATTGCCACCACAGCTTCAGGCGATTGGGAGCAAAAGCGGTCACCACATTTTCAATACGGTGGTTGTCCGGATTCAAGGTCTCGTGGAACGGATCGCGTGAATCGCACGTAAAACATTTCTTGTCCTCCTGAAGTAAGCAAGACAAAAATCCATTGTGCAACAGTCATTATTTCTGGTACTGAAACTTCGTTAAATTCTCACTTCACTGGACCCATTCAAGTCCAGGTTAATGTCCAACACACTGGGGTCCCAACAGAACAGAATAGATGGAATAGAATTGAGTAGAGTATAGAGTAGAGTAGAGTAGAGTAGAGTAGAGTAGAGTAGAGTAGAGTAGAGTAGAGTAGAGTAGAATTGAATAGAATAGAATAGAATAGAATAGAACATACTGGGGTCCCAACAGAACAGAACAGAACAGAATAGATGGAATAGAATTGAGTAGAGTAGAGTAGAGTAGAGTAGAGTATAGAGTAGAGTAGAGTAGAACAGAATTGAGTAGAATAGAATAGAATAGAATAGAATAGAATAGAATAGAATAGAATAGAATAGAGTAGAGTAGAGTAGAGTAGAGTAGAGTAGAGTAGAACATACTGGGGTCCCAACAGAACAGAACAGAACAGAATAGATGGAATAGAATTGAGTAGAGTAGAGTAGAGTAGAATAGAATTGAGTAGAATAGAATTGAGTAGAATAGAATAGAGTAGAGTAGAGTAGAGTAGAGTAGAACAGAATAGAATAGAGCTGGAAGGGACCTCGGAGGTCTTCTAGTCCAGCCCCCCGCTCAAGCAGGAGAACCTATACTAAATGAACTGTTGTAAGTCGAGGACTCCCTGTACTAAATGGAACTGTATTATATTTCAGTTGTTAAAATTGTAGATCTCAGCACTAACAGGGATGCGATCCCTTTCCAGGAAACAACTCTCAAAATTAAGTCACCGCCATGCCAGGACGTTAACACAAGCTCCTGGACGCTGACCTATTTCCTGGCATATTTTTTTAATGCAACTCTCGTTAATTGCTCCCCGTTTCCTACATTTTGCTTGGAAATTTCGGATCCAGGATACAAAGGCCACGATTTTCTCCTAAGCCTGGCATGGTTAAAAAACAACCAGATGCCTCCACTCGCTTTCCTTCTCTTTCCTCACTACTCTCCGTGTGCTAAATTTAAGATTGCAAACACCAGAGAGCTATCTAGCCCAGGGGTAGTCAACCTTGGCTCTTTTATGACTCGTGGACTTCAACTCCCAGAATTCCTGAGCCAGCTAAGCTGGCTCAGGAATTCTGGGAATTGAAGTCCACGAGTCATAAAAGAGCCAAGGTTGACTACCCCTGAGATTCTAGCCTCTTCTAATTCTGCAAAACAGCCCAATCCCGAGAAGTCGACGTTATTCTCTTTACTGGCACAAAGGCTTCGACGCTTTTCGCTCCGACCACTTCCCAACAACCGAAGACTTCCATTTTTGGAAATTGGGACTCCTTTATTTGCGTCCATCCGTCATGTTGTCGGACCTGCTGGTAATTTTCTATCCCTCCAACCACCTAAAAGTTGGAACTCCGACTTTCTCCAGAAATATTTATGAATCCCTCTCACTTTTTTAAGATAAACATTTCTACCTTTGGAGTTAAACAAAGGGTGACAGGGGACCTTCTCAGTTGAAAAATGGGAGAACAGCTACAGTCACGGCGTTCTATAACATCGCATACAAATTGTACCAAAAATACTACAAGGAAAAACACTGGGTTACTTCTGAAAGGGGAGCAGAGGAAGTTCCTGGTTCAGATCAATTTGCACAAATCAAGGAGAGAAGCAACCTGGAAACTAAGGAGAAATTCCCTGATAACGAGAACATTTAATCAGTGGAACGACTCGCCTCCAGACGTTGTGGCTGCTCCATTCATGGAGGATTTTAAGATGAGATTGGACAATCACGTGTGTGAAATGGAACAGGGTTTCCTGCCTGAGCAGGGGGTTGGACTAGAAGACCTCCAAGGTCCCTTCCAACTCTGTTTGCAAGCAGATATTGACTTTTTATTATTATTATTATTATTATTATTATTATTATTATTATTATTATTANCCAGTGTTGGAGCACCCCCAACTTCTGAAGGCAAGTCATTCCACTAGTTAATTGTTCTCACTGTCAGGAAGTTTCTCCTTAGTTCTAGGTTGCTTCTCTCCTTGATTAGCTTCCATCCGTTGCTTCTTGTCCTGCCTTCAGGTGCTTTGGAGAATAGCTTGACTCCCTCTTCTTTGGGGCAGCCCCTGAGATATTGGAACACTGCTATCCTGTCCCCCCTCGTCCTTCTCTTCATTAACCCAAACATACCCAATTCCAGCAGCCGTTCCTTATGCGTTTTAGCCTCCAGTCCTCTGATGTATTATAAAACATGATAGGTTTGGGGGAAGAATCGTGAAGGAAACCTAACACCAACTGCCAAAGAAATGGCAGTTGTGATTTCACATGATTGTATATGTAATGATAATAATGAACCTAAACAAAGCATGAGGAAAGGGTTTCTCTCTCTCTCTCTCTTTCTATCTCTCTCTCTTTCTTTCTCTCTCTCTCTCTCTCTCTTTCTATCTCTTTCTCTCTGTGTCTGTTTTTTCTGTCTTTCTTTCTCTGTCTCTCTTATTCTCTCTGTCTCTGTCTCTCACTTTCTATCTCTTTCTCTCTTTCTCTGTCTGTTTTTTCTCTTTCTTTCTGTCTCTCTGTCTCTGTTTTTTCTCTTTCTTTTTCTGTGTCTCTTATTCTCTCTCTGTCCCTCTTTCTGTCTCTCTGTCTCTGTCTCTCTCTTTCTTTCTCTCACTTTCTCTCTTTCTCTCTCTGTCTGTTTTTTTTCTCTTTCTTTCTGTCTCTCTTATTCTCTCTCTCTCTCTGTCTCTCTCTTTCTCTCTCTCACTTTCTATGTCTGTTTTTTCTATTTCTTTTTCTGTCTCTCTTATTCTCTCTCTCTCTGTGTCTCTGTCTCTCTCTGTGTGTCTGTTTTTTCTCTTTCTTTTCTGTCTCTCTTATTCCCTCTCTGTCTCTCTCTGTCTCTCCCTCTCTTTCTTTCTTTCTCTCACTCTTTCTCTCTGTCTGTTTTTCTCTCTTTCTTTCTCTGTCTCTCTTATTCTCTCTCTCTGTCTCTGTCTTTCTCTCTCTCTCTTTCTATCTCTCTCTCTGTCTCTCTCTCTGTCTCTCTCTCTCTCTCTGTCTCTCTCTCTCTCTCTCTCTCTCTCTCTCTCTCTCTCTCTGTCTGTCTTTCTCTCTGTCTCTCTCTCTCTCTTTCTCTCTGCAAGAACGACCTCTGAAATCAAACCTGGTCCTTCCCCAGAGACGATCTGGGTTGAGACGGAACTCACAGGAGGCAGAGATCAAGAGTTTTTTTCTTGTATCACAGCCAGGATTAAAAAAAAAAAAAAGTCCCAGGAGACTTTAGTTCATCGCATTCAGGNTCAGCTGGATATTTCTTATTAATATAGTTAGAAATACTGCATCATAAAAGCATCTACTGTTTCATTCTTACATGAACAATTCTGGCGTAATAGTACTCATAAGTACACTGCCCGTTTGTACTTCACATAGACCAGGGGTCTTCAAACTTGGCCCTTTTATGACTTGTGGACTTCAACCCCCCAGAATTCCTCAGTCGGCTATTTTGATGAAACTGCAGGCTTGGATCCAGACCAGGGGCCTTCAAACTTAGCCCTTTTATGAGTTGTGGATTTCAACTCCCAGAATTCCTCAGCCAGCGTGCCTGGCTGAGGAATTCTGGGAGTTGAAGTCCACAAGGGCCAAGTTTGAAGACCCCTGACATAGATAGATGAATGAACTTTTGATAACCAGAGGCCACGTTTAAAATTTTGAGAGTCTACGGCAGGGGTAGGCAACCTTGGCTCTTTTATGACTCGTGGACGTCAACTCCCAGAATTCCTCAGCCAGGAACCTTCTTTGGGACTTGGGTGCAATCCCAAAACATCTGGAGGCGACTTGAACCCCATCGGCACTGACAAAATAACCCATCAGTCAATTGCAAAAGGCAGCTTTACATGGCACAGCTTCCATCTTGCAAAGACGCCTGTAACACCATCAAACATCCACATCTGGTTATCTCAGATTCTTGGGAAGGGCTCAATGGATGGATAAAAATGCCAAATCCAGTCTGAACATCTGGTTGACTGTGCAACAAGTAATAAAGACAAACTTTCCATCTGTCAGTTACAAGAAGCTGCACTGCATGGATCTGGATATATACTACATTGATAAAGAATAGAGTAGAATAGAATAGAATAGAATAGAATAGAGTAACAGAGTTGGAAAGCACCCTGGAGGTCATCTAGTCCAACCCCCTGCTCAGGCAGGAAACACTATATCATTTCAGACAAATGGCTGTCCAGTCTCTTTTTAAAAACTTCCAGTGTTGGAGCATTCACTGCTTCTGGAGGCAGGTGGTTCCACTGGTTAATTGTTCAAACTGTCAGGAAATGTCACCTTAGTTCTAGGTTGCTTCTCTCCTTGATTAGTTTCCATCTGTTGCTTCTTGTCCTGCCTTCAGGTGCTTTGGAGAATAGCTTGACCCTCTCTTCTTTGGGGCAGCCCCTTAGAGATTGGAACAAATCTGGTCCCTATACTATTTCAGACAAATGGCTGTCCAGTCTCTTCTTAAAAACTTCCAGTGTTGGAGCACCCCCAACTTCTGAAGGCAAGTCATTCCACTAGTTAATTGTTCTC